CTTTACAAAGGAGGAAACAGGCAGAAATAAGTGACTGCCACAAAGTTAGACTCATAGCTTAGGGGCAATATGGGAACTTAAGGGCAGGAATGAGTGCTCATCACATTCAGCAGGATGCAGTTCCCCAGGTTTTATTGTTAATTCACAAATGTGGAGGGCTAGCACCTTGTTCTTGTGGGGCTGACTGACTGTAGCTCATTAGGCTTCTTCCTACTTTGCACTTTGGGGACAGCAGCTGTGTTCCTAAGGAAGGAAACCAGAATAATGAATGCAGGGTTTCCTTGTCTTCTGCTTGTGTTTTGGAGGGGAGATCACTGCTTGAGGAAGATCTGGATTACATGAGGAGAAATGTAAAAGCAATAGGGAAGAATTCTGTGGCTGAGATGAAACCTGAGAATCATTCTTAGAAATGGAAATAGAAGCCAGAAAGCCTTGCTTGCCTGCTAGCAGAAGTAAGACTTAAAGCAGGCTTAGGTCTTTCACCTCTGCATACCTGTAACTTCAATTGTTACATTCCTGTGAGGATGGGTGAGTGCTAGCTTTGAAAACAATCATACTGTATGTTTTGTTTTTGTTTTTTTAAATAAAGGATATAGGGATGGAGATGATTGTGTGCTTAAGAGCCCATACTGCTCTTCCAGGGGACACAATTCAATTCCTAGCAACCACATCAGGTAGTTTACAACTATTTAAAACTTGTTTTTGGCTTTTGGTTTTTGGAGACGGGTTTTCTCTGTAGCTTTCGAGCCTGTTCTGGAACTAGCTGTGTAGACCAGGCTGGCCTCGAACTCACAGAGATCTGCCTGCCTCTGCTTCCCTAGTGCTGGGATTAAAGGTGTGAACTACCAACACCTGGCTCTATCTAAAACTCAACTATAAGGGATCTGAAATTTCTGGCCTCCATGGAACCAGCATGTACCTCCATATACTTCCTATAGACATACAAGTATATATAAATAAAAATGATAAAAATAAATCTTTTTAAAAGTAGAGGATGTAACCAGGTGACACCATGCATGCCTATAATTCCAAATTCTAGTTCTCAGTGGACCAAGGCAGGAAGGTGTCTGTGAAATCAAAGACATCATAGAGAAGCCCTGTCTCATAAATAAATAATTATATGCCATATTCTTTGGTCAGTAACATACCAAAAGAATACTGATATGCAAAAGGTTTTCCTCCCCTTTTTGAACGGTTTAAGTCCTAGTATTTCTCTAGGGCTAATGATACTGTGATGACTAGTTTTATGTCAACCCAATACAATTTAGAGGCATTTGGGAAGAGGGAACCTTAAAAAAAAATGCCCCCACCAGATTGTTCTGTGGGCAAGCCTGTGGGTTTTTTTTTTTTTTTTCTTGATTGATAATTAATGTGGGATGACCAGCTCACTTGGGTGGTGTCACCCCTGGGTTCTATAAGAAACAGGTTGAACAAGCCAATTAAGCAGCATTCTTCCATGGCCTCTGCATCAGGTCTAGCCTCAAGGTTCCTTACTTGTGTAAGTTCCTGCCTTGACTTCCCTTAGTGATAACTGTACCTGGAAATGTGGGCTACACCCCTCCCGTGTGTGTGTGTGTGTGTGTGTGTGTGTGTGTGTGTGTACATACATACACACACACACACATACACATATATATACATTCTCCTGATCTACTGAGTTTAGAGTTAATCTCCTTAGCATTGGTGGGTGGTTATTTTCTGGAGTGAGGATGACTTTTTAGTGGCCACACTTCTAAAGAAAGTGATGCCCCCTCTCCCAAATTGGTGGTATTTGAAATAGAGCCTCTATTGTAGCCCAGATTGGCCTTGAAGTTACAGCAGGTAACTCAAGTCTTTTGAGTTCTGACATTATAGCTGTATAGAACCATACCCAATGGAAGACTTTTAAAAATTCTGTTTAAAGCCGGTAATTCCTTATTTAGATTTGATTTACTGTATGACCCTTTCTCCACAGTAACTGGGTTTTCTTGTAGCTGGTGGTACTCTGGGGTTTTGGGAGTTGATGTTCCTGTTTTATTTCTGAAGTAGTAACTTTAGACCATCCTTTATACAAATACTCCATTGATGACACTCCGATTATGTCCTCCCTCTTTTTGAGGGGGGTTAAAATTCATCCTCCACCACTCTCTACATTCTGTATTTGATCAATTATTAGGTTTCATTGGTCCTTGGTTCAGGTAGCTGCTTATGCAGTAAGACAGAAGCCAGCAGTTTGCGAAACAAAACAAATACTTGTACTCCTCCACCTCCCCACTTTTTGTTTCCTCCCATAGTATTCAGGAGTTTGGCAAACATTTGCAGTCTTCTGTCAAATGACAGGGCCTTTGCTAGCTCTTAAAGATTCCAAAATGAGTGATTTACAGTCAGTGCCTTCTCTGAGTCTACTAAGGTGAGGCAAATAAACAGATGTACTAGCCTGTTCAAGTTGAAGAAGCCAGGAGCCAGGAATGGCAATGGGCATGGTAGGAAGTGTCAGGAAAGGAACTCCTCCTGAAGATGCTTCTAGACAGGAAAGTCTTGCTATATTAAGTTAATTTGTATTTTATCTTCTTGAATAATTAATATAAGTACATTAAGAAGTGTGAGAGAAAATATATACTAAGCATATAGTAAGAATTTCTTTAAATTTTGCTTCCTGATTTTTAACCTCTCAGTTTTTCTTCCTAAAAGCAGTCCCCTCCCTTCCCATCCCCTCCCCTCAGCTGAGCATTAGCTCCTCTGGGTAGTATTATTTGATTCCTGACACTCATAAACAGAACACCTAAGGCACTACCTCACGTATATCTACTCACCACTTAAATATGTACTGTACACGTGTTGTGATGTGGCACACGCAGATGGCATTTTTGATGGTTTCCAGTTGTTGCTTTGAAGAGATGACTAAAGAATGCCTCATAGGGTTGTCTAGTGTGGATACACTAAAATGGTAGTACTACAAAGCTTGTTGTTTGTCATTAGTCAGCTAGGGCTCTGAGCATATCCTTTAACATCTTTAACCTCTTTGACTTTAAAACACCCCCCCCCTTTTTTTCCCCCTGCATCTGCAAAAAAAAGCTTAAAGATCCCCACTCAGGTCTTATTATTGGTGACTGTGACAGCAATGACAATTGAGGACTTGAAAAGGTCTGGGCACTTTGAGTCTAACTAAACCTTACACCAGTGCTGTTTCACAGAGGAAACTGGGATTAAGAGCCATGAGGAGCAAATATTTGAATATAACTAGGCATTCTGACTCCAATTTACAGTCATAGAAATGTGAACACACTCCACATGTGTACAGACATACAGACTTCTACATGAATCACTCTGTCTGTAGCTTTAAAGGCTCAAGTTAGAGTCTGAGTAAATGCTAAGGACCAAAGATGCAATTGTCACAATTACCAGGAGAGAAGAAGTGAAGACCAGTGGCTAGCTCTGTTCTTGATCTCTGGCTAATGTTTACTGAAGAATTATAACTGCTCTCGTTTGGACTGAGAGAACTTACATTACTGCTTGCAGTTGTCTTCTCTGGGAGGAAACATAGGTTTGAGTTAAGGCTTCAGACATATATTAAAGTTGAGTCTAGTTAACATCTTTGACCAAGTCTCAAGGAGTCCTTTAACCTGTGTCTATAAAGCTTTATGTTACGTGTATAGAATTTTTTAAAAATAAGAACGAATAGCCCACCGGTGATGGTGCATGCCTTTAATCCCAGCACTTGGGTGACAGAGGTAAGCGAATCTCTGTGAGTTCAAGGCCAGCCTAGTCTACAAAGCTTCACAGAGAAGCCCAGTCCTGGAAAACCAGACACACACACACACACACACACACACACACACAGAGAGAGAGAGAGAGAGAGAGAGAGAGAGAAAGAGAGAGAGAAAGAGAGAGGGAAAGGAAGGAGAGAGAACACAGAATATCCAGGAGGTAGTGGCACACACCTTTAATCCCAGCACTCAGGAGGCAGAAGCAGGAGGATCTCTGAGTTCCAGGCCAACCTGATATACAGAATGAGTTCAAGGACATCTGGGGCTACAAAGAGAAACCCTGCCTTGAAAAATAAAACAAAAAATTAACTGAAGTCATCAACCCAACATCGAAAAATCATTTAGATAATAATCCTTAAATTCTTGACTACTGATTGGTTTTGTTTGTTTGTTTGAGGCAGGTTCTCACTGTGTAGTCCTGGTTTGTAACTCCCTGTGTAGATTAGGTTGGTCTTGAACTCACAGAGGTCTCTCTCCTTGCCTCTAACTCCAGAATACTAGGATTAAAGGTGTGTGACACCACACTTGGCTTGATTTCTTCCTTTTTTAAAATAATACTTTCCACTCTTTAGAAGCCAGCCTGAGCCAGAATGAGTGGTGGGACCATTGAGCAGCTTCAGCCTGTCTTCTACATCCCCATCATTGTCAAGGATAGTCAGTAGAATGTCACCTCTCTGGTCACAGGTCTGTGGGTTGTGCCTTGAATAGTTTTGAGATTCGGGGCTGTGAGTCAGCTCCTCGGGGCTCCTGAGTGACAGGTTAGGCCTCTGTGGACTTGGCTCCTGCTGTTGCATTCCTTCTCTAGGCTGTGTAGTTAGTCCTTTAAGACATGTGCTCACTGTTACTCCTTTGGTTAGCTGAAGTCGCTTTGAGGCCAAGTGACATAGGCAGGCCCAGCAGCTCTGTGTCAAGTGGTCCTGGCAGAGCAGGAAGAAGTCTCTGAAAGCAGCACTGACCTGGCTAGCCATGCAGGTGACATCCAGGTGAGCTGGAACTATCCCCTGACCCTTTTTGCAAGGGCCTGGCTCCTGAACCAGATTTTGACAACAGCTGGCAGCAGGCTTTGGCAGCAGCCCAGGACAACTGAAGCCTACTTCTGCGCTTGTCTCTTCTCTTGGCAGTAAGGAATTAGTTGATAGAATTCTTTCAGCTTAGTGTGGGTTTGTGGCTTCCTTGCAGAATGCTTGCTTTTCAACAAATTATGGCTGAAAATTTCACTTTACTTAAGTCTTTTTGTCTGTTTGTTTGTTATAGGTGAAGCTACTCCTGGCTGGCTTTATTCTTACTTCTGGATTTTAAAGTCTTTCTCTTTAAAAATTAATTAAATAAATAAATAAAAACATCGGACGGATAAAAGATGTGCCATGGCAGGATAGCACCAAAGAGCAACTCAGCGTTTGTTGTGACCTCCGTGGGGCATGGAGTGTTTCTTCAACTGGTGATCCTTAGCACCCTGCTTGGAGATGGATTAACCTCTGGTAAGTCCAGACCTGCCTTCTGTGTGGGGGAGGGGAAACACTATACCAGTGTTTCTCTTGGAGCCTGGGGTGGGGGACTTGCCTTGTCAGGCAGTTTGGGAAGAGTTTTTTGGGTTTTTTTGTGTTTGTTTTTTTCCTCAGTCTGGTATGGGAGCCAGTTCTTTGGAGCCTAATGAGCTAATAGAAGGAGGTGTGGGAGCCTGTTGGTGATTACATTATCTCCCTTTCTTTCAGCTGTTGGCATCTTCAGGCAAGATCCAGGGCATATGATATACAGGGAAGGGGATAAACTGGGGTTAAGTTGCCTGTGTTCAGAGCCCATTCCTACAACTACCTATGATCCTGAGCAAATGACTCTATTACTGTGAACTTCTAACTTCCTCAGCTGCAGAGTGGGTTAATAACAGTACCTGCCTCACTGAGGATTGTAAAGGTATTAATGCTGCATAGTAAACACTTAAGGATGTCACTCTTTGGTTTTTGTTTTTTTCTTATTTTTCTATGCCTCTTCTCAGACCAGGTATATTGAGATACCTGGTATCTCAGGTATATTGAGATAGTGAAAATAGGGACTGGTAACTGACCACTAACATTGAGATTTGGACAAGGCCACCTAACTGTCCCATAGCTCAGTTTCTTCATGTGCTAAATAAAGGAATTGACTTTATGACCTTGAGGGTTACCCTTTTCATAACTCTGAGAGCTTTTAGATTGAGGATGATAAGCTGGAATGTTCCTAGGAGAGGCTGAAAATGCAGGGGTGAGCCCTTTTGAAAAATGTTAATCTTTGTTACCTTTGACAGTACTCTAAAAGTCCTTTATCACTTCACATTGTGCCGTATCCAGACCTGGCATCCTTTGCAGAAAACACAGATGAATGTACTCAGCAGGCCATTGGATGATATGCCAGAACCATTTCTGATTCTGTGAGTTCTGTATGTTCAACAGTAATGGAATCCCTGCCAGAGTTCTTTAAAAAGACCTGGATGGGGGCTGGAGAGATGGCTGAGCAGTTAAAAGCACTGCCTCCTCTTCCAGAAGTCCTGAGTTCAGTTCCTAGTAACCTTATGGTGGCTCAAAAACATTTGTAATGGGATCTGATTCCCACTTCTGGTGTGCAGGAAGACAGGTCACTCATATACATAAAATAAATAATTTTTTTAAAAAGGACCTAGATGGCAGTTTTCTTGGACATTTTCCCTGGAGAAGAATCACAAAACTAATCTAGAATGGGACTGTAATCAGATTTTTCTTTGGACTGCTAGCTCACAAATAATGTCATGGAGACATTTATTAGTTATGAAATCTCATCTGTCTGTACTGCTCATGCTGCTTCCTTTGTACCTGCCTGTCGACTCCACCCTTCTTCCTCCCAGAGTCACTCTCTGTGTTGGGAAGTTCTGTCTGTACCTCCTTTCTAGCTATTGACCATTCAGCTCTTTATTGAACCAATCACAGCAATTTATCTTGACACAGTATACAAATATCCCACATTTCCCCTTTTTGTCTAAATAAAAAGTAAAGGTTTTAATTCTAACACAGTAAAACTATATACAGATAAATGTAAGAACAATTATCAGGTAAGGATTGCATTTACAGTGTCTAGTCTTTGTGTATTTGGCAAATTCAGAGAAAATATTTTATTATCCTATCTTGGTGAGTCAAAAGTTTTGTGCCTGATTTACTTTCTATCCTAACTTATACTAACCAACCTAAAACTATCTTTTTAGACCTTAAAACATTTTCTGAAACAAGTTAAGCTTTCATGTCTTTCAACCTTACATACTTTATACCTCTTCCGTGATTTTCTTTTCTGAGTTTGGTAACAAGGAAAGCTGTAAAATTAATATCTAGTCTGTAACCCCATCAAAGTCTCAAGAAGGATATAATAGTACCTGATTAAACAGAAAGTGCAGGGCAAACAACTTCCGAAACTAAGAAATAACAGAGATGTCTGGTTGCCTGCACAGTCACCCAAGGTTCCTCTGCAATGTTGGGGACACCTATCTTTGCCCTACAGACCTAGAATATCTAACAGACTTGTCTTTTGTGGAGCAGTCTTGGCATTTCCGGCAGTCTTCTTTTGTGTCCTGCTTGTCCAATTTGGACATCAAGTTAGCAGTTGAGGCTAGCAGTTGAGTGTCTTGTCCAGTGGCTAACTAGCCACAATAAAAGCAACCTCTTTATGGGGGTTCTTCGATTCCTGTCGTCCTTTTTTGAAGTAAATTGGTGCCGCCAGGAGCAGATGTGTCCTATTGTCATGTTATTAAAACCATATTCTATAGATCTCTGAACTGTTTGGAGACCATCTGTCTAAAATATCTGTTTGACCTTGAAAACATACCTAACATGGCCACAAATGTGATTGTTAGATAATTGACTACAAGCCTATATTTCTTAATTATCTTAATTAGTTTGTAATAATCACTTTCAAGGACTAGAAATTTATACTACATTGTTTAATAATCTGCATAGGTGTAATACCTTAGACAAATTTAGAAATATGTATGTGTGTATGTACATATATTATAACAAAAATAACCTTAAATTTGTATCAATATATAAAAATATATATCGTTATAAAATATTTGAGACTGTTCAAAAGTAGACTCAACAATCCACCCTTTTATCCCACCATTTATATACTATATCCTCGCTTTTCCCTTCAGAACGAGGTCCCTGAATCTAATCTCTCTTCTTCAGCCTTTGTACTGACCGTTACCAATAACAACTTGTAAACAACTCCCCTAAACAATGACAAACATCCATAACCTACCGAATGTCCAAAAGCCACCCACCCTACCTCTTGAGAATGTGAGCATCGTGTTCTCTAGTCTCTAGACAGCTTCCTGTTGTCTGTGGGCACCGGCATCTTAGAAGACCTTGAGAAAATTGGGATAATGGTCAAGTCCTGGGAGAGCTAGTTGTTGTCTAGTCTCAGTGCGGTGGGAAAGGGTAGAGCTTATCTGAAGTCTGGCTGGAGTAGTCTGTGAGGCTGAACTCTCAGCTAGCGACTTTGAAGTTGTTCTGGATGCAGAATTTTGAGGAAACTGTAACAGGCTTTGTGAAGAGGTTGTATCACCTGGCCTACTTGTCTATATTGGCATCTGGTTCTTTTTTATGAAAACATAAACTTTTAAAGATACTATATGTCTATGTTAATACAAATATGGAATGTGCAGTGTATACAGAGATGATTTTTTTTTTGTTTTATATTTGAGCAGGTAAAAGGTATCTGTCAACTTTTATAAGTCATTTGGACTGTATAACCAAACCTCTATCCATGCCATATGAAAGGATGACATGAAATAATAAGTCATGAGGACTCTGTAGCCAACAAGATCTATTCTGTTTCATCCTGTCTCTGAGCTGTTTCCATGATGAGGGATCAGCTTATACATCATCTGTCTTGTAGTCTTTCTTGGCTCTTTCCCTCATGTCTGTGACCAAGATCCTCAGGTCTTCCCCAGTCAAATCTCATCTCGATTAACTTTGAAGGAATCCATAGCTTTTTGTTTCCTGTGGGACAAAAACATAACCTCTCCCTCAATGCAGCACATTGTCCAACTTTTGAAGTCAAGACGTTCCTAAAGTGTATAGGCTGGTTTAATTTAGCAGTCCGTGTCTCTCAGCAGTGGTGCTTTCTGTTCATTAGCTTTCAAGAAATTCAAAGTAAACAAAGCGTACCGTTCAGGATCTAGATGCCCTGTGTATTTCCCATCTTTCATCTTTATGTGGCTTGTTTGTTAGTTTATTTTTCTTTTTTCGAGCCAGGGTTTCTCTGCATAGCTTTGGAGCTTGTCCGGCAACTCTTTAGACCAGGCTGGCTTTGAACTCACAGAGATCCACCTGTCTCTGCCTCCCTAGTACTGGAATTAAAGGTGTGTGACATCGCTGCCCAGTTTGTGACTTTTTAAAAACAAAACAAAATTACTCTTTTTAAAGACTTAGCTTTATTGTTTTAAAACTTATTTTTTTTTTTTTCTATGACTGACTGTACCCATTTTCTTTACTTTCTTCAACATCTAAGCACATTTTTAAACATACTCTACCATTTTAGACGTTTTCTGTGTCTGGACCTGGCTTTACTAAGCCTTGTAGCATTCTCTGACTATGTGAGCCAAATCTTAAACTGCTTAGCAGTGGTTAGGCCCTCCACTCCGTAGCTTCTTTTAGTACATGACCTGGTAGCTGCTTCTGTCACCTTCCAGATTGTGAAAGTGGAACCTCATGCCTGTGCCCCCCCCAAGCCTGGAGCCAATTTATCTGCCCCAGCTGTACCTACTCTCCCCCTACTGAATAGTGTGCTGCCCAATGCTCATAAACCCCATTAAATGAGCTGCAAACATTGAGCCTACTTGGAACTTTTTTTTCCCCCAGCTTTTTGCTTTCTTAGGCCCTATGTGGATTTACATGCTGTGTGTTGTGCACCAGCTGCAGTCAAACTTTGGGCAGGCAGCTTACAAATAATGACAGAGACTTATTATTATGAAAGTTTGATCTTAGCTTAGGCTTGTCTCACTAGCTCTTATAACTTAAATTAACCCATTTACTTTAATCTACAATTTTTCATGTGGCTCATTACCTCATCTCTATATTGCTCATGCTTCTTCCTCTGTGTCTGACTGGCAGCTCTGCCCTTCTTCCTCCCAGAGTTCTCGCTGTCCTAGTTATTGGTCATTCATCTCTTTATTAAACCAATCACAGCAATATTATCTTCACACAATGTACAAAGTATTCCACAATAGGGGACCTAAGTGGTGATGAGGTGCCTTACTTGTGGCTGTGGATTTCTTGTAACTCCATGTTTTCTCTTCCATTACTTATCATTTCCATTACCCTTTCACCCATATATACTGGTAATGGAGCAGGTTCACCTAATTTGAGCATTCTTCTGAATTGTTGATAGAAATAGTTACTGATTCTGTTGTTCCATTGTAGCCTTCCTTATCATGTATATAATTCTTTTCTGTTGCCTCTGCTTCCACCCTATTCTGGGT